GGAGCCTGCTCCAGCGTGGGCTTCCCACGGGGTCACAGCCTCCTTCGGGCACCCCCTGCTCCGGCGTGGGGTCCTCCCTAGGCTGCAAGTGGGGATCTGCTCCCCCGTGGGCTCCCTGGGCTGCAGGGGCTCAGCCTTGGCCAGCAGCGGGGCCACCTTGGAGCCGTCTGGCACCGGCTCTATCAGACATGGGGGAAGCTTCTAGAAGCTTCTAGCAGCTTCTCACAGAAGCCACCCCTGTAGCCGGGGGGAGCTACCAAAACCTTGCCACGCAAACCCAATACACTACCACACGAGACTGATAATGACAGCTTTTAGTGGGAGCATCTTTCCAGTGTGCTGACCAAAACCACAGGGCAGCACGGGTTGATGGCCACAGTTTAAGAGGCTGGTGGGCTGCCTGGGTTTAAGGAGTCTTCCTAGTCTGTTCAGTGTAGCATCTGCCACCACAGCCAGTGCTGCCGTCGGAAATAGCCCGTCGTGGTAGCTAAGGAGGTTATACACTCCTTTCTCTAGCAGCGCGTACTCCTCTGGCTGCCCTTCCGTGTTATCTGGCTGACTGCATGGAGCGGGTGGCCTCTTCTGTAACCGGTTTAGTGCTTGCTGAACTGTTGCTATCTGTGGGCATGGTCCAACATCTGCTGAGTTGAAGACAATGACTTATACGTGGTCATCATATCCAATCCTCTGTATTAATAGCAAGGTCAGGCCTTGCCCCGGTTAGTGCCTGCTGACTTTTCCCCATCTTGCGTCTCTCTCTCTCCAGTTTCATTGCTTTTTTTTTCTCCACAAATGCTGTGGTAGACTAAATTTGAAAAGGGTGAACCAGGTTGTAAGGTCTTGGTTCTCTTTTTGCCCGCTTTGTTTGGCACGCGGGGCAGAAGCGGTTATGGCACAGGGAGAGAGCAGTGGATCACTTCTGCACCAGCTGCTGCTGGCTCGTGGAAGGGGCTGTCTCCAGCTCGTCCAGAGGTGACTTTGCGGGGGCAAATACTCAGCACTTCCAACACTAGCTGGCTGCTCCACAGGTAGCACATGTAGGGGCAGACCCAACTTGAGCCCCTTGAACTGCTTTTTAAATATTTTTACCCTGACGGCGAGGGGCTGGACATGGTTTAGGAGGAAATAACAGCCAGCAGGTAAGGTGTGCAAGTGGCTGCACGTGTGGAACCTGCAGAGTTGTGGCTGCATCTCAGCTGTGCAAACCACATGGGTGTTTTCAGCGTCCCTTTACAGCAGAGCAGGAAGCAGCTTTTCCCACAGACTCTCGGAAACTCCCTCTCCTTTCTACTTGACCTCACCTCAATAGAGAAAATCCCTCTGCTTCTTCTGAACCTCTAAGATGCTCTCATTTTCTTTGCTTCCTCTAAATAAGCCATGAAATGAGTTCCTGGAGAGACCCGCTCAACAGCAGCAGTTTTGAGGTGCGCCCCCCCCCCAGCATACCCTGCATGAGAGAGATCGTGACATGGTCCCCTGCTTGTTTTTCTGGTGGAACTGGTGCTTTATCGGGCTGGTGCATGTTCTTTAAGCTGGTGTTTAACTGCCAGTTCCCTGTGAAAGCTTGTTTTTTTTCTCACCACGCTTGAAAGCATTTGTCCGCCAGCCCCTTTTTGGGTGGCTAAATATAAAAGCAACCGCTACCTACTCTGGAAGGCTTAGTGCGCTACGGCGGCTGTTCAAAGTCGATGCTCCGCACATTGTCAAAATGGCATCTCGGGGGTGAGCAATAATTACAAATGGGAGGATGCATTGGCAGATGGAAAGCTGGGTTTGTGGGCACAGTCATGGG